TTGTGCAATACTTGTCATCTTTGATGTATAGATACTAGCATTACATAGTAGACCTAGAAAATTACATATTTATAACTTGGTGAATGCAAAAAGCTCTACATTAATCACAATAATACACTCTGTTATATGAGCACAGACTGGAAAATACTGGCCAGTAATATAATGTAATTCTAAATGTATTATTTAATTTTGGATGATACACTAGAATAATAAAATTTTTTATGTGATTTAAGAGGAGAGTTTGCTCTTTTATGTCTCCATTTTGGAAAGTGGGAGATACTCAAATTTCAGTGTGCTTTTTATTAGAGTAAGAATAATTTGAAGCTTATGTACTGGAGGTATTATTTATTTGTGTGCTAATACTTGAACAATGCTGAGCTGGAAAAAGTGAGCACTATTCTGTTCCTGCACCAACTACTGATAAAACAACTGAATAACAGCAACAAAGGCAACTCTTAATATGTCCAATTGTTTCTTTCAGTTCATGAAAGTGCATTTTTTTCTAAGCAGAGCTGGAGATCAGCTGTATACTTCTATGCAACATGCTCTCCGAAGCCATTTTAAATGTAAGTTCTTAGTCATACAACAACCTGCTAATGTTGCAGTGTAATGATAGCCTTGTTTTACTATTGTCTTGATGCATGCAAATGAAGAGTAAAATGATGTTATCAACTATTAGAGTAAAATAATGTTATCAACTATTAATGATGCACAACTGTTAAAACTGTAATGGCAACTATAAGGCCTCAAACAACATTTCCCTTTTCCCAACAATAAAGTCATCTGGGTTTAGTTATTTTGTGTTCAGTGGATTGTATGTTATGCTGAAATTTCTAGCACATAGCAAAACTACCACCTACACAGACAACCTAAAATATAAGAATTTACACAGGTCATGTTCTGATTGAAAGCAAACCAAAATACTGTAGTTACAGCTTTCAGCTAGCCTTTAAAAAGATGAAAGTCACTGTTCTGTAAGAGTAGATAAATGTGAATTTCAATTAAAGTCACCTCTGAAGAGGTAAACCAGCAAAGTGTACTGAAGGAGTATGATAAATAGGAATTTATAGAAAATATACTAAGTAAACAGTGGACAGGAGCAAAATCTCCACAGAAAAGCCTTTATATAATCTCAACATTATTAAAAAGCTCTCAAACTTTCCAAATTCTAATGTACCATCCCACCCAATGAACACAGAATTTTGCTCCTGAGAAACTCTGCAGTTTTACTCCTGGTTTTTCAGATGACAAAAATTTAAGGTCAGAATAGGCTGTTTACCTTGGCTACCAAAGAGGGTACAGGAACAGCCAGTTCTTACAGCAGAATGGTAACAGTAGAGACTGACACTTTATATACTATCAGATCCAATTAAAAACTGAACTTTGGTAAGTACAGAAAGACAGGAGGAAGACTGAGCTCACATTTCACAGTGAAAGACTTATTAACAGGAAGTGAGAGGTGACTTACTTCTGTTGCCAAAAGGTAGGACAAATCCTTCCCTAGTAACAGTGGTAATTTAGGATTTGCCAGTGGAATCCAAATCTGAGGTTTGGTGGTTGGATGCTTATGTACCTTCTGAGAAAAATGGCATAGATCCAAGTCCAAGATGTGATGTAAGCATATCAATACTCATTTAGCAAACTTATTTTCAGCCAAATGTGAGCCAACAACTTCAGCTGTAAAAAGCCACCATGGCAATTGCCTAATGCTAATACAAGATGATGAGAATACTGTGCAAAAATTTGTTTGGAAGCATGAAGGCAGCAGCTGCAAAAGTGATGCAAAACTATGAAGGAATGGCTTCTCAAAATTCTTATAAGGACTATACTAGGAAGATAAAGAGTAAATGATTTATAATGAGGAGGGACATTAGGTAAGCTATGACATGCCACATAAGGCAAAGTTACAAGACAGCAAAAGTCCATGCTGGTGTCTCAGGAAACAAACTAAAAGTGACTCCCAGGTTAAAATCAAAAGGTTGGTTTATCCTGTTGGACCTTTACCCACAAACTGTCCCCCCCCTCAACCAATCCTGCTCTTCCCATCCTCTCATCTCCCCTCCACAGCTGGGATACAAACTGTGCTTCCCTCACCCCAGCCACCAGCTGTCAAAGGCTACTGCCTCTCCTCAGCAACTCTGAGCTGGTGCAGAGCTGATATAGCAGGGTCTGAAGGAGGAAGGGGGTCCAGGCAAAATTTATGCAGATATAGGGCAGCACATACCCCAAAGGAAGTGCAAAACCCCTTATTTTCCCTAGCTCCCATGCAGTGAAAAAAACAGGGGAGAAGTTCTACCTCTTCTCTCTCTTTCTCTTTCTCTCATTCCTCTAAAATCAAAGCATGTGTGAGACTACCTCTTCCCCACTGGCCCCCTTTCTGAGAGATTTAATAATACTGTGACTTTAGTACTGTAATACAGTTATTAACAATGTTAAAAGATTCCCCTGGCATCAGTCACTGTGAAAGGATGCTGAGTCATTTCTGCAGAAGAACACCTTGAGGACACATTCCAGCAACATCCTCCCTTTGGCAAGATTCAGTTTCTTATAAAGAGTGCTGCAAAGTGGCAGGAATACAATTGTCAGGAGAAACAAATAATTACTGAAGAAACAGTGTAAGACCATGCTAAAACATTCTTGACATTTGTGAAAAGAAACATTCTGATATTTCCATGTTTTAATTTATACATTTGTTCAATTTTGTAAACTGGGCCTACTGGAGGCTAAAATGCTTGAAGGAAAAGTGCCTTACTTGACTCAGAACCATTTCTCTAACCTTTTCTATATGACCAGAATCATCATGGTCCATGCTAGAAATTGCTTAGGTTCAGGAATGTACATCTCTGTAAAAATACATACCTTCAATTTAACAACAGCCTTCATATAGCTGTTTTAAGCACGGTGCTATTTAGCAGTATGGTCACTTAATAAATTATTTTCTCCTCTTGAAATTAAGCCACTCGTATTTTATGGTGGCCACCAGTTACTCAATCTTTCCACTAATTCTACAGGAAATAATTTTATAGATTTTGTAAGAATCAGGTAGAACCTTTCATATTGTACCTTTCATAGAGGTACAATAGTTGAGTCTGTCAGCTTCAGTTCCAACAGGATTATTTGCTGCATGACTGATTGAGAGATACCTGACCTGAAGACCAACATGACTTTTCAGCTTTCTGCCAAGCTGCATTATATTTTTTATGCTTTATTTTGCCCTTTATGTCCCTGACAATATGCATTTGCTGTTTCTGTGCTACCTCTGTATTTAGCTTATGTTACATGTGCAATGCATAGACATTAATTTGATAATGTTACCAAAACAGGAAGACTCTCTCTAATAAAATATTTAAAAATACATCTATCAAAACAGTAGCTAGTAATGAAATGGGGTGGGTATGACATCCAATAAGCTCATCTTCCTACCTTGTTTTTTTAAAGTTAGTAACAGCCTCTAAAAAGCACTGCTCCTTGGAAAAGAACAATATAAATAAAATTCCCACTAGATAAGAAGGCAAATTTGCATCCGTACACAGAGTATACTTATCTGTACAGCTTTTGTTGTTAAAATGTTGCTTGTTTAATGGTTTATATTTTCAAAGCTTTCTCTGCTTGAAGGATATTTTTTTGTCACTAACATTTAGATTCATGATTGAAGATTGCTCTTCTATTCTCATAGTGAAATTAATTCCATTTCTTCAAAGAATGCTTTTGAAGTTTTTTTTATGTATGGTGGAACTACAAATTGACAGCACAATGATCCTCTTCACTATTCTTACAATCAGCAGCTGTTAACCTATTTTTATCAACAACTTCATTGCTACAAGAAACACTTCTGCAAAATGTGAATGCAGCTGGTGAGATCATTCCACATGAGCTGTCTCCTCCCTGGGAATTTTTACAAGCAAGTTCCACAAAAAACCTCACTTCAAGAAGTAACCAACTGCCAAGCTCCCCTCTGACAACACACCAGGCCTCCTTTACTTTCCACTCATGTTCCAGGTATGCACAATGTCACTCAAGGCATAGATGAGCATCTCCCAGACACCTTTAAATCATCCCTCTGGGAATTTCTGCACCCTCTAAGGCCTTTGATGTGCTCCAAAGTATGCTAGGATGCTTTGCTACTGCATATAGAACACCAGATAAAGGCTCAAAACTGATTTTCCCATATCAGACACAATCTCAGGTGTCTTGGCTTTCAGATGCAGATAGAAATTAAAAAACCAAGCCATTTTGTGACTGCAGCAAATACCTAGATCAATATCACAATGTCAGTGAGGAAAGGATGGAGTTTCCAAAGTGGAAGATGGTATGTGAAGCTCTACTGCCCTCTGAGTCTAGAAGCACAAGCAAGGATGACCCTGGCTCAGGCTTGCCACTCTGACTACTTGCATCCTTTAGACCGGTCCACAGTCAGGACCTGTTGTACATCAGGTAAGTTGTTCTCCTGTATGAATTGTGGACACAGTGCCAAATTATCCTCCCAGAAATACTAAGGAAGGACCAAAAAATACAGTGAAACCCTGTTGCTTCCAGAGAAGAAGAGAAGTGCTCAGATTGAGCACTGGAAGCCCTTGGTCTATGTAGGGAATACATCTCAGCCTGCCATTGATTTCATCCTGTCTATATGATCTGGCATCTGCTTTCATTTGTTGTCTGAGGATTCTCTGCTCTAGGATCCCAACAGGGAACTTCAGAATTGGGTAGGTCCTCAACAGACAAACTGATATGGAATAATACAAATTTCTCATAGATACATGCATGTTTTATAGCTATGGTAGGCATACTATGGATGTGAAGGGCAAGAAAGCAGAACATCAAATTCACTCAACTATTTTCTAGTTCTCATACTGTGTGTTTTTGCTAGTTATTGTTTCTGCATAGAGCACCAAGAACAAACAGTACACATGTATGTATGGACTCAATCCTCATGTAATGTACACATTTTAAATTACTTTTTAATCTAACACGTCTACTGGGACCATCTTTGATACACCTACCAATAAACCCTGAAGAAGGAGGGTTGGGCTGTATCTTCTCTTTAGTATTCTCCTGAATGATGTCCCAGAGCTGCCATATAAACTTTGGATGGAGGATGTAGAATGGCTGGGTTGGATTCTTCCTGCGATGCTGTACGTAGGGAGTGAACAGATTGTAGTCTGGCTTCTTATACCACTGGCAGGAAAAAAGATGTTTTTTAATAGTATTAAATATGTTTTGAACACTTCATGTACAATAGCATAAATTGGCTTCATTTGGGTTCTGCAGAACAGAAGCAAAGGTAGCAAAGCAGCCTGCACTGGTGGATGCTTCTGCTAGAAAAGCATTCGTCACTCTGAGCTATACCGTTTTCTTTCTTCATACAGAGACTCCCAATAAGTAATTGACTGCTGTGGGATCAGCCAAGACCATTTTCCCCTCACGGATCCACATTAAAGAAGAGGTTCAAAGAGCTTTGACATGATATCTGGGCCTGGGGGTGAATCTTCCTCTGAAAGCACCCCGGTCCCTGACGGAGGCAGCAGCAGCGCATGACGCAGGCTGATGGCAGCCTGCGTGGGAAGCAGGCAGCCTCTGGCATCTGTTGCTAAGGGAGTTCAGCAGATGAAGGCTTACTTTCTACTTTTTGCAGCCTGCTCAGCTCTGAGCTCCCTGTGCCAAAAGCCATCAGATCAACTTGCCTACTGGAGCTGCAGCAACAGCCAAAGTAAAGAGTCCCCCAGTGACAACCAGATGGACATCTGCTGCTCTCAGTGAGGGGGTGGATGGCAGGGCACAGATGGCTGTGGGACAGGGGACATAAAGGGAACATTGGTGGGGAGGATGCCTGAGAAACAGGGAAGGCACCCAGAGAGATTTTCACCAGGATTTTGTATTTTCTTTGGGAAGGCAGAGGGAAAGGTGGGGGAAAATGGATGCAGTTTTTCACCTTTCTTGATAAAACCTACTTCTGAAATCTAGCAATGTTCCCTCCTTGGCAAGCACACAAGAAAACTCACTGTTATGTGAAAACAGCAATGTTTTATCAAATGCCACCATTCATCTATACTAGCATTTCAGAACAGTCCCTTCCAGTATAATTGCTGGCTACTAAAAGTTTTTGACCAATAAACCAATTTTGACTCAATTCCTATAGGCATAGCATTCTCCACTCGGATCAAGAAAGAACCTGGGGTTTGTGGTGAAAAGGGAGAACCAGGAGACTAAAGCAGTAAATCAATTTTCTCCGGTACTTTCAAATAATTGGGAAGAAAAGTCTAAGTGGATATCTTACCACATTAAGATTTGCAGAGTAGGGAGCAGGATCCCAGGCTACTAAGATAACATCTTTATACAAGGAGCTGTCGACAAAGTGATGGTTTGGATTGGTGAGAATCTGCAAACAGAGATGCAAAGAATTGCACAGCATTAAAAGCAAGTAGGATCCAGAAAAATGGCAAAATCCTTCTCTCAAGTGAACAGTCCTACCCACGCTGCTGTTTGTTATGCTTCAGTTGTGGTTGATTTTAAGCATCTTGTTTTGTTAAAAAAATATACAAAAAAAGCTTAGCCACCAAACAGCACTCATTGCAGTTTGAAGTAGCAGTATGCTGAATTACTCTCCATCTGTGAGGGATGTGATGGGACCACTTGAGATGCTGTGTAATTGTGTGTCAACATTACCATGTATTCTGGAACTTGAAAAGGAAAGCTACAGCATTTCAGATGGCCTGTGGGATCCTCTTGGACACATCAGCTTGCTTTGAAGGGCTACAGCCCCTAAGGGCAATGTCTTTCCCTGCCACCCATCCCCAACCACCTTTTCCATGCCTTTCTCATTTTAACAGCAAGTCAGTCTCATTTCAATCCAAAAAATGCAAATTAGACCATGACTGTACAAACTGGAATACCTATAAAAACAATTCCAACAATGGGCATTTTACAAGGCTATTTTTGAAGGAACTGCTCTCATACAACTCGTTCCTGCATCTCCCAGTACTTTGCCTGATCATCCCACTGCACTGGAAGTCTACTCTTTACTCCTGCTGGCTCACCCCTTCCAGGATCCTCCACATCTAACTAGATCTCTTTGATTCCTAATGCATCCAAGCACCAGGCAGCTCAGCAGTGGTCAGAACAGCATGAATTTTGTTCCAGCTGTTAAAATAATCAACATTCCAGACAAATAAATTCATAATAATTTTCATTTCCCTTTAGGATCCAATGAGCCATATTTAATTATGCATATTTTTCTTCAGAAAAATAATATTGTTGCCATAGCAATATTCTTCCTACCATAAACTTTGAGTTTAATGATTTCCATCAGGCTTCTACAGTAAGAACAGAATTAGTCATGCTGCTATCAGCATCCCCAACTTAATTTCTCAGAACAATTTTCACCTCAGAATGTAAACTCCTTTTTTGGAGTACGCAGAACAAATTGACCAAAAGGCCAAGATTTTAAAAGCTTGGTTCCACACTTACCACACAAAGGAGCTCTCACTTGCCTTTCAGTAAGCAAGAGTCCTCTGGAGGTGTTGTCACACAATTTTTGCTCTCAGTGAGTCTGCACACATATGTATGAGCTTTTTCTGCAATAACAGTATCTGTAGCCACTGCACAGGTTTCCTTCCTGTCCTTTGGGCTTTCACAATGGAGAATATGAAGGAAGAAGGGGCCACAGCAGCCTTTTAATTAAGTGAATGCAGGAGTGTCCAGCAGTGAGGAGGTAAATAACTGTGTAAATAACCCAGCTACAGTACAGGTAGGGAAAGCAACTTCCATCGAGTGGCCTGTATAGATTTCACTCTCAGCGAAGTCAAGGCTAATTTCTCAGCAGGTGGACAGACTAGCATGGATGGCTTCTGACCGCTCTGAAGGAGCACAAAGCTGGTGGGGAACACAAACACTTGTGAGGAAGCCATGTGAGCTGACCTGGCCAGAACTTTGCCATGCCTTCTCTTTTCTTGGGAGGTCTTATGAGGAGCAAGCCTTACACAGTGCAGAAGAGAAGACCACAGGACCCTCCATTACCATCCCAGTGGGAATGTACTGCAGCAGCACTGGGAGCCAGAAAAACCCAGTCTGCCCTGCATGGAGAGCAGCTAATTTAACCATTAAATCTCTCTGAATTTGCTGGGGAGCTAAAAAAGCTCAAATCACTCCCTGAGAACATTTCTCTCTTCCACAGGAAGCCCACTGAGTCTAATAAACCATAAAGAGTTTCTAAACCTTTCTCCTTGCCCAGTTCAGGCATGGCCACTGTCAGGACATTTTGGCTGATGGTAAAATGGAGAATCATCAAAGAAAAGGAAAAAAAAACCCAACAAAACAAAAAAGTAAAATAAAATACATGAAAATCCACATTCCCTGATACACTGATTATAGCACTTAAGGCAGAATAAGGTATTTCTGCTTTCTTTTTGTGAACAAAAGAAAGGAGGCATATTTAACCCAAATCACTTCAAAGATCTAGCCTGTTCTGCAGCCTCACAAAGACCTACAAAATGAGTGTGAAGGGAATGGCAGTGCACAGTCCTCTTTTTGATGGCAAATAACATGTGCTTATACACATAAAAAACACACACACCAAGAACAGGCTTTGCAGAGGCAGTCACTCAAAGCAGAAGAAAAAATTAACTCATAAAAATTACAGTAACTGAAAATTTTGGTCTCCTTCAACAAGAATCAATATGCACAGAGCATGATACATGGTCAATCATACTCCTGGTGTTGACTAAGTAAACTCATTTCAATATGTCAAAAAATTTCACAGAAAATCTGTTGCTGATTTTTTGTCTGCATTTCTTAAAGAGGAAAGAGGTTTGGTTTGCCCAAGACAGGAATTCAGGCAATAGCATTTTTGAAATTGAAAAACTAATCTCAGCCATAAGGTGTCACTGTAGCTCAAGTCCCAATGATTTATTTACACCCATAGACAGAAAATCCCATTTTCTTTTGTTTCCATTCAGATGAACAAACTCACCTGATGTGTAATAGCCAGTACACACTAAAGTTTTTTACTAGTTCTTTCCAAATTTTTAAACAATGATGACTGGCCTAGTGTTACACAACTCAGTTTCCATTTCTTTTGCCCTCTAGCAAGGAAATAATTGGGGAACTGGAAAATATGAGAAAACAGGTTTGGAATCACCACAGCCTGAACTTCATGAAAATCCTGTAGGCAATGGCTTCTCCAGGAGGTCAAGGTCTGCTGTACTGACAGCTCTGATATCCTGCAGAGCCTTTACAGATGGGTTCACATGAGAAACTTTACAAACCAGTTCTCTGAAACAAGGCTATGGAGTCACTCTAACAGCAGTGCAAACATGCCTGTAAGGGAAAACTCTCACCTTCTCTGCATCACGACTGTTGAATCACTGCCTGCTTCCCATATTACCCAACACTTCTTCAGAGGTTATTAACCTGCTGTCATATTGTGCAGAAGAGACATTGACTTGAACTCTGAAAAGGAAGATCTTACCTGAGAATTAATGATCCGCATGGTTGTTTTATTTCCAACATCTTTTTCATAGCCATGAGTAGGAGCAGAATTAAATCTTAAAACGGCATCATGAGCATCTAGGAGCATAAACAAGGGGGTAACTCATTTTTCTTAGTATACAGAACAGTAAAATAAAACTAGTCATCTAAACTAATACAAAACTTTCACATCTGTCCTAATCTGGATATTCTAAGGATGATGAATGTTCTGCTATGCACAAACAAAAATCCTCTTGCATCTGCCATATGTTATTAACATAAAAGCCCACTGGGACAAAAGTTCAGAATCATCTATTAATTTAGCATGCAATACTTGAATGCTTCCCTTAATTGGATAGACTTAGTGTGGGAAGACTATTAGTACACCCAGTACACACAATTGCTCACTACTTCTATCACAAAATTTAGAGAATTACTCCATGCAAAAGCATGTAAACTGCAGGGATATCTAATTGCACATTTGAATGAACAACAATGCTTAACTATAAGCTTGTGTTTCACAGTATTTTAAACCTGAAAATCTCAGACTACCCCAAATCTATTAATCATACTGTGTACTTACTCTCAAGCTCAGTACAAATCTTAAAGAGCCTCTGTATGGAAGCCAGCCCACACATCTGCTCACACAAAGAAACCTCAGGATCCCTTGGTAGCAAAGATCTAACAGAGCTGAACTGTCAAAGTTACTCCACAAGCAGTTGACCTTGGAGTCATGGAGAAGAGAAAGCAACTGTAGGTCAAGTATGGGTCAAGGGTAGACACCACGTGCAAGCCTCCATTGGATGAGAGATAATCACCCTCCCAGTGATGCTTTTAAGGGGATCTCAAAGCCCAAAAGGTGCAAAGGAGAGCAAGACATTTTATCCACTGTCCAGAAACACACAGCCCCTGTTGGTAGCCCTGTACTTGGTCTGGTTTTATCTGTTCTAGCAATGGAAGCTGAGAATATGATTCAGACCAAAATGGGCATCAAATACCTTAACCCACAGGTAGTTTGTACAGCTGTTCATCTCTAGTCACTTAAAATGTGTTGTCTGCAGCTCAAAAATTGGAGGAGGCAAAAGTCTCCAAAGATAACCAACATGCCTCCAATGGAGCCTTGGCTTGATCCTATCAAACTGGGATCTTTCATCTTTTCCCTCCTTTACTCTGCACTTCTTGTACTCCATACAGGGAAACACCATGTGGCATGCAGCAAGCACTCCAATCTCAGACATACATGTTAGCATTAATATGTCATGACTGAAATGAGGGGTTTTGCCAGATGCCCACCAAACCAAACTCCTTAGAACCTAAGGAGTGGAAGTTGCAGGGAAAACCCTAGCCTCAACACCTAGACTCCATTCAACAAGCATCTTGATTGTGCAGGAACTAGAGGAAATTAATAGAAGCTTTTGACCCTCAATCACCTAAGTGATTGACAACTTTTAGACAATCTGTTGACTGAGAACTAGATTATGAAATGTAAATTGTATGGCTTGCAGCTTAATTGAGAGACAGTGTGATGCATTTCCAACATCACTCATGCTGGTTCTTCATATACAGATTAAAAACTTCTCCTTTGCCAAAAATGTATGACCAGGACACAGCTTAACACTGATAATAGCTGGTTTTAAATAAACTGATTTTAATCTTAGTACATATTTGTAGATGAGCATTCTAAAGATTCAGAGAAGTCTGGAGTTTGATGCCAAAATAACTGGTTTCCTCAATTAATAGCACGGGAGTGCTTGCTATACTTGCACAATATTTCCATGCCTACTTTCATTTAAAAACAGTCAGGGGGGTGGGGGAGAGAAGGGCTAAAGGAAGAACACAAATAAACATTTTTGCTTGTGTTTCTAATAGGAACACAGAAGAGGGAGCCAAAGGCCTATGAAGGGAAATGTCCTTCGCTGCTTCTTTCATAGGCATTTTCTTTTCTCTTGGGAGAATAAACCATAGAATCACAGAATGGTTTGGGTAGGGAGGGACCTCAAAGGCCATCTAGTTCCAGGCACCCTGCCATGGGCAGGGACACCTTCCACCAGACCAGGTTGCTCAGAGCTCCATCCAGCCTGGCCTTGAACATTTCCAGGGATGGGGCATCCACAGCTTCTCTGGGCAACCTGCGCCAGTGCCTCACCACCCTCACAGGGAAGAATTTCTTCCTAACATCTAATCTAAATCTCCTCTATTTTAGCTTAAAATTGTTCTCCCTTGTCTACCACTGCTGTGAGCAGTCACTTAGCCCCCCACAAATCCTCTCCTCAGTCACAGGTATCTGCCCATGGCCTGAGAGACAGTTAGAAAAAACCTTTGATGATTCCTGGTACCCCAGTGCTTTCTTGCACAACATGTATGAGATCTGAAAATTCTATGTGGGCTTTTTCAAACCACATCTTCTTCCCTTTAGGTGGCATCAGATGTCATTTTCCCATTTAAATCCAAAGCTCTTCCAGGGAAAATATCATAAGCCTCTGGTACCAGAAGCTTCCTAAGAAAACAGGACGAAGCAGGCCCCAGGTACCACATCAAGCACCCAAATCCAAACCTGGGCTGCACCTGAGTGTGCAAATATGACTTGAAGCATGCTGTAATATGTAATTATGTAAATATATCACAATGGTATTCACTTCAAAGTGAAGATTACAGATTCTACAGTATACCATTAATCCATATGTAAACTGGTGTACTGAGAACTGACAGAAGATTTGATTTCAGTCAAAGATAATAATTGCTTTTTCACCCCACAAATTTCTAAATTAGTGATGCTTCCTGTGAAATTGGAGTCACCCTGGTGTGATTTTAGCTGCAGGCTAGCTGGGCATGTCTGCTGTGCTGGAAGCCTGTTGCAGAAGACCGATAATCCTAGCAGCTCCAACATATCCCAGAGATTTAAGGAAAACCTATCTGTGTTCAAGAGATGATCCAGTGTGATGAAGAAAGTATTGGGATATGAAGTCTTTGGAGGATTAATGAGAGAAAATCAGAAGGTTTTTACAGAGAGCTGAAGGAGATAACTCTTCTTGTTGTAGAAACAAGTTTGAGACATACCTTTCATGCTTCTTTCAACACCCATAGCATACTGCACACGTACTACTAAAATGAAGAACTACTGAGATTAACACAAGTAGTAGCTCTCATTTTTGATAAGAAAAAATAATACTGACCTAGATTTCCTTTATGGCCCCACCATCCTTTTCTGAATAGCTGCCACAAACCTCCCACCTCGAGGTGGGGGATTCTGAGTGACACTGACATCTCAGCACACCTGTAACCTCACTGACTCGGTGTTGCAATGGGAAAACAACAGGTGAACATACTCAAACTCATTTAAATTCAGTCTCAGAAAAGAGGCCAGGGGACTTGATCTCAGTGCATGAAGCTACTCAAGGGTCTGAACTCTATGCCTGTGAACTCTAAAGTGGTAAGAGATGAAGAGGACACTCAGCTGCTTCTTGATATTGAGACAAATGTCTGGGATAGCCATACAACAGCAGCTTATCGTGAGCAAAATAACACAGCTTTGCAGAAAAAACCTCTGAACATGGCTCTAATATGCTGAAGAAATAAACGCATGTGGCACACAAATGTTGAATATGGCAGATCTGATGAAACCAGTGCCGCCTCCATACTACAAGCTGTAATATGATAAGAAGGCATCATTGTTTTCTTAAAATTAGATTATGACTTCAGGCCTGATTTTCCTTACAGTTATGTTGTTCTGAAAGGGAACAGCCTCAGTGAAGTCCATTAATTTACACTCATGCAACTCTAGTGAGAGAGAACAACCAGACTTTACAGATCTGTTCTTGAGAAGTACAAACCTTTTGAAATTTAAACATGAACACACATATATACATATATATACACAGACATGAATAGATGCATTTCACCCACCTATTTCATCCCCTAAAGAGGAGTTCAGTATTGCACCAGCAGACATAACTACGGCACAGCTCCCAAAGCCATGTGTATATAATTTACCCAGTGGAATTTGGGGAACGTGCTTTTCCCATCCAAGAGTGGAGAAGGGAGCCTCCTTGCCATCTATTGTTTTCACATTCACTCTTTCTTTTAGCTCACAGAATAGCTGGTCTCCTGTCAACTTGGAGTTTCGTTTCCCCTTGAACCGCACCCCATGCTTATTGGTACTCAAATAATCTTTCATCGCCTTCTGCAGTCGAGGGTTTAGCATCTTGGAAGAGACATCCCCTTTCCAAAGCTTGTAAAGAAAGGATTTCGACATTGTGGAATACAGCTCATCCCAGTCATCAGATTCATCAAGCATCTGGCCTCTCCTATGCTTTGTGCTCCTTCTCCTCATTCTTCTCTGATGGCTCCAGCTGTTCTGTAAAATATTTCCTTTTGGATTATTCACATCAGCCGAAATGAATTTTTCTATCTCTTGAAGGTGGTTGTGTGACTGAGGCTGACCAGCAGCAAATAAATAATCATCATTCACTTGGTAGAAAGCACTTTTTGATTTTCTTCCTAACTGGGGTGGAAAAAATTCATCTTCATTTCTAAAGGCCTCTTCCAATACAGTCCATTTCTTAGAATTTCCAGTCCCTGACTTAAAAGTACCTAGGAGATCTTCATTAAGAAGCACCTCATTCCCATCAATGGTTTCAGAGAATGATGGGTCATGAATGGCTCCCATGATGACTCTCTGCTTGCCCTGAAGGGGCAGAAGTCTCTTAGTTTCAATGTAAGAAAAGGAACTTGGAACTGGTTCAGCAGTGTTGCTATCTGTAAAATAGATGAATATCACCAAGAAAAGCAGGCCCCATGCAAAGATACCAAAGAGCATGAGTTGTTTCCACTGCTTCAAGTTAGGTTTCATGGCAATGCCTTTACCAGCTCCTCTGTGCCTTGAAGTATTGGTGAAGGAAAATGAAACCTGTAAAGAACATCAAATGCTATTAAAAATTGTTCTAAAAATAAATGCAACTCAGAAATATCTTAACACATATTGATAGACTATGCAGAATAATCTCCAAGCAGTAGCACAAAGGATTCAGTAGCAGAAACAGAACTCCAGAGCCCGCAGACGCTGTAGGAGTGACATGCTTTGGCTGTAACCACACCGTGACAGCTGCTAGTTACAAAAGAAGCTGGTGGCCAGTTTCTACAGTAACACTGGATCCTGCCTTCAGGGAGATCATGTGCCTGCCTGCTTCTGCTATACCGAGCATAGCATTGAGACAGCAAAAGCAAAACCCATGCCTGGCTGCATGCACAGTGGGTACAATTTAAGCTGTCTTTACCACTGGAAGTCCTTAAGCAGGGGAACTGTGAGCAAGCCTGTCTCCAGAGGGACCAGGCAGGGAGCAGATGGTCTAAGCTGCAGTTCTCCTCTGCCCACAGCCTGGAAAGGATGGTGCTCTGTCTGTACCATCGGGGGTGAAGGGGAGAGCATCACACAAATGATCCAGAGGGGAACCTCTTCCTCAGCTGGTATGAACTGCCACAGACCCAGTGGCTACATAATTTGTTGCCCAATACCCAAGTAAGGACAACTCCTGTACCTCTGCCACGGATGCTGCACGCACACTGAAGCGGCATGAAGGAGTTGTGCACATCAAGGTGCCTGCGGTTTTGTGTTTTCCAAAAAGGAGAATGGGTGGCACAACTATCTAAATACATTCCTTAAGAGTAAGATAGAGATTTACATAAAGGGAGTGGGTAGCGAATGTCAGACCTAGTCCTGGAAATATGTGCCCTACTAATACCTGGGGGTTTTTGACAGCTTGTGCATTAGTGGAGGGATGCATGGTCCAAATGAAACAAAGTTTGACTGTGATTGGCTGTGTTCCAAGGAAAATACATAACACATTGCTAGACCATTGAGCACACTATGCCCTTACACGAACTCACTTGTTTAATCAAGTGGTGTGACTATCAGTTAGAAGGCTGACTGAAGCAAATCCCCACCATAAGCCTTACCATTCAGGTCCCTGCACCACAGCCATCGTCGGCCTCAGCTGCTACACCGCAGTGTAACTCTGTGTACTAATTAGTGACAGATCACTCACCTGATCTGAATTCAAAATAAGCCAAGCCCCTTCTTCTGGAGTTTTATTTCTAAACCATTTGTTTCAGTGTTTTAATGGTGAGACTTAAGAGCCACTTGTACCAGCCAGCTGTGATCAGCAAAGGGGAATGGGAGCAGAGGCAAGCTTGGATTTTATTACCAGCCCGCACCTCAGGAGCCACCACCTCATCACATCACATCACATCCGAGCAGCACCACAGCTTACACGCCTGTGATAACACACTGCCTGCTCACACCGGCCATCAGGAGGGACCAAAACCACAGTCACCACACGCTATCACCTTTCTGCAAGCTGCTAAAGTACATCAAAGTTGAGTGCAAAGTTTAAACCGAAGCTGTAACTAAGACTGTGTTTTCACATGAAAAAGAACCCAGCAGTAACACCAGTGTAAGACGTTCTCTTCTCTGTCCTTCATTCCTGCACTGTGCCTCTGCTGCTGCCAACACCCCTGTGTATGGAACTGATACAGCAGGGGAAATACATGTTAAAGGTTTTTTTGGTTTTGTGGGATTTTTTTGCTTTAAACTGGGTCAGCCCCTTTATCCACTTCGGTGTGGTCACACATCCAGTTGTTTCAGCACTAATGGGGAAATCGCCTACCACAATGCAGAGGCGAGAACAAACCGCAGGTGGTATTAGCAGAGATACTTCAGGCTGCGTTTCTGCTGACCTCCCGAGAATGTGAGACCGCACTATTACGTTTCCAAACACAGTCTCTTTTAATGATCTAGACAAAGCCTAAAACATTAGGGAAAAGCTGACTTTGGGGCTCAAGGCAGTGTCCAAACAGAGGGAGGATTCATAAAGTTACGCTTGGATGACCAAATTTCATTGCAATTTCTAATACACGCAAAAGGAAAAAAAAAAAAATCATGACTGTGATAACCCAGTGCTCTACATACGTTTGGCTTGGCTCACACAAACCACATAGAATAAAGCTATCACTCCAACTGACCTATTTCCTACTTGCACTCTGCTGCTGCAAGATTGCTCTCTGCAGTACCTCAACACTCCCACACCTTCCAATTTTAAATCACTGCAGGTGATGTCCTGTGGGAGCTGCCTTACACTATATGGCTGTTGTGCAAGTTAGGTCTGCCCTGAAGTTATTGCAACCTGCCCACTCATCAGTCGTCAGATGGTTCGCATTTTAAAATCAGCATTCTTCACCCATCTGAACTGCTTTCATCTCTTTTTATCATTTTCCCTGATGTGTTTCCCCAGCACTTTTCAACATGTGGCTTCCAAACCACTGTGTGAGTCTTTGCTCAGTCAGATGTTTCTCCTGCTGAATATACATTTCTTACAGGATCTGCAATGGAAGCATCTCCCATGATCTTTTTAACAGATAAGCTTGCAGGAAGTCAAAGCCATAAAGGAAGAGGTCACCAGTATTTTCCATGGAGTCACGTAGCAAGTCCAGACACAATTTAATCTATAACACAATCTTACAATTTGTTCATTCCTCCTCCCCCCACAAGTTTTGTTGTATCTTATAGCCAGAAGTTGCTAAGAAATAGAAAGGTTTTGCCTTAATTCGGGTGTGACACTACAAATTTCTAATTGTCTGTGATCATATGTGTTTAGCACAGCAGACTGCCTCAGCACAAAAAGTCAAGACCGAGCATTCAGGTTACAATCTGAAAAAGGACTGAGTTGCATTATTATTTTTTAATTAAAGCAAACAAAAATCTGCCCCCCAAGCCCTCCACAACACCTATGTCATGAAAGCAAACTCATCTTGGCAGCACGCACATATATGATATGTGCATATGATTAGCTTCCTTGTGCAGCAAAAAATGCCCACGTAAAACAAAAGACAGCATCCAACAGTGTATTTGTCAACTGTTATAAATGCAAAGGCAGATTTGGGTTAAATAAAAACAATTTATTATAAAACAATTTCTATAAAAAAATAAACAATGAGGGAAAACCACAATAAAACAAACAGCGCAGCGCTGGGTGGACAGGGGTCTATACTCAAAGGTATAGGTGTTCCCAAATCCACGCAGGAGGGTAAACTGTCCGGGGTTTTTATAGGGATTTTTAGCCTTGAGGCCAAATTCCAGGCAGGCACCATTCATCAACAGTCCTTGATTGTCGTATGAATTGATTTCCTGGCATTGGAGAATAGAGTCGAATGGACGTCCGGACCGAGTCTCCTCATATGTAAAGAAATTCTGAGTGGCTCTTGTGGTTCAGGCCATCCGGATGGGATGGCTGGATCCGGGTTGGAGCCGATGGATATTTCGGCTGGATTTTTCCTTTTGTTTACTTGATGGCTTCCCCCAACGGTAGCCCGCAAGGCGAGGTGTTCGGGTCCGGTGATGAATATCTCGTCGGTGCCTCTCCGTTTTGGCTTGATGTTTCGTGTCCTGCCTATTCTTCCCCGTTGATGGTCACCGAGCCTGTCCTTGTCAGTTTGAGGAGTTTTTTTTTTCTTGTCAGCTTGATGGGCCGCGTCCTGTCTATTCTTTTGTTGATGGGCGCCGGCTAGGATCGTTATCCTTTGAGTGGGAATTCGTGGCTAGATCTGGGAAGGGCTTGTGTGTCATACTGTACTTTATATTTTATATCATTATTGTTATATACATTTATTTAGATTTTTACGAATTTTTACAAGTTCGTTTCTCACAAACACTACAAGCAAAAGGAGAGGCACCAGTGAGAATAAATCCAAAAACTTTACACATTAACTACTGCAAAAGCTTATCTGCAATTCCTTGTTGCAAGTGGGGCCTTAGAAAGGATACCCAAATCTCTTGGAAGACCGGCAAATCTCTGTGCTGCTTTAATGTTTTTTGCTCACAAGAAATGCCTTGTCCTCCAGCAGTACAGCTGAGCTGGAAACAAATTCAAGGTCATTGCTGTATTACTTGCAAGAGGACCTGTACAACCTCACAGGATCTTGAAGGCTGTGTGTCGAAAGCTGCACTAAGTTCAGAGAAATATCAGTTTATCTTATCTCCCTCTACACTAAACATCCAGTCCTCTCCCCCTCAGCCCTTGCTGCTTCTCAGACCTCAGTCCCTGGCTTTGAAAATGTCTGGGAGGAGAGGGCAGCGGTTCCACATGCTCCCCACCACCCTCCTGCTGCCAGCAGACCTCTCCACTGCTCAAAGGGGTGTCTTCCTCAGCACCATCAGGGGATTCACTTTGATTCCTGCCCTGAGCTGCCTTCAGCAGCACATCTCAATTGCAAAGAGAAAAGCATTTGTGTAGGAAACTAGAAATGACGATTGCAACAAATTACACTGGCTAAATAAATAAAAACAGGTGGTTTCATGGGTGCAATTACTGAAGTCCACTGGATGCTTCAGGAATAAGCTTCCATCTCTTTTATCTATGCTCAATATACAGCTTTTAAACTGTTAAAGCAGTTCTACACAAGTTTTTAAATTATCATTAGCATTTCTTATTGTCTCCAACTTCACCCCCCTGCTGTAATAATCCTCCCTACTTACAGACTGCTGGAGTCAAAGCTGCTGCAGAGGAGGAGCAGAGGAATAAGTCTACCCCTGGGGGAAACACCCGAGACTGAACCCAACCCAGCTTCCTCTTCAGCCGAAGTGATAAGCCTGTTTTGCCCCAGAGGCTGAAAACCTCATTTTCCTATGTATCTCCCTTCTGATGGGCTCCTTCAATCATTAACTCATTTAAGGTCCAACTACCATATGGAGAATGGCTTTTCTCCTTTCCCAGTCTGGACATTCACACAAAAACCCTGGAAAACATGAGGCAAGGTACAAACCAGTGAAGTGGGCAGAAAGGGAAGACTTACTTATTTGCTTAATAGACATAG